ATTAAATTAAACTAAAATTGAAATCAAATTCACCATACATTTGTTCAAAGTGAAACTTATTTAGCGGCAGTTGGTTGGTTGGGAATAAATTGTCAAATTCAAGGGGAGTAATGCACATGGAAGTAGTTCTCAGCGGTTTAGCGGGTTGAGAATAAAAACAAAAACAAAGATGCCTAGAGGTACAGGCAAAAACGAAGATCAAAGTAAATTTAAACACTTTAAGATAAAGGTGAAGAGGAATATGCAAAAATAAAGATAAATATGAAGAAAAGGATGAGGATGAAGATCGATGTTGTTATCGATATAAAACTCGATATAATAATCGATATTGCTATCGATAAAATAATCGATATTGCTATCGATAAAATAATCGATATTGTTATCGATACTGTTATTGATTAAATAACCGCTATTGTAATCGATATAATAATCAATAGATATAATAATCGATACAATAATGGATATTGTTATCGGTATAATAATCGATTAAATAATTGATTTTATTATCTTTTTATTCATTTATATTGTTAACGATATGTACAATAATCGATACTGTTGATTGTTATATTTATCGATGAATTAATCGATTTTACAATCGTTGTATTTTTCTATATGTTTATGGATATTGTTATCGGTATTTTTATCGACACAGTTATCAACAGGGTTATCGATACACTAATCGGAACATGGAATGTGATCACATTACATGACATCACATCACATTTTATCACATGATATGAAGAGACACCACATGATATTACATCACATAATATGATATCACATCACACGATATCACGTGACATGACATTATATGATATGACACCACATTATATGGCATGACATCACATGACTTGACATCACATGATATGACATCGTATGACATGACATGGCATTACATAGCGTGGCATCACATGATATGACATCATATGGTATGACATCATATGACATTACATTAGAGGATATGACAACACATGACATGACATCCTATCACATCACATAAAATCACGTCACATCACGTCGTCGCACCTCATCTCATCTACGTGAATAGAAAAAGAAAAGGATATAAGCATAGATATGAAAGATAAAAACAAAGACGAAGACCAAGGTTAAGTTACCGATTTCAAAACCAAAAACACCCTTGGAAAGGTAATTTTCTATAGATGAGGAGAGTTTTTATAGTTTCGAAATTGGTTGAAAATCGTCGTTTAAAAATTTCCATATTTGTGTATGGTTGTTTTTGCAACCTGTTCAATTTAAGCTGTTTCGCATTTTGTTTTACTTCGTATTTGCAATTAAACTTTGAAATAAAGATAAATATGAAGATGAAGAAACAAGTGATAACGATGAAGACAAAAAAAGGCAAAAGTGAAGATAAAGACGAAAATTGAGATAAAGGCGAAAATGGAGACAATGAGAAATACATAAGAATTAGGGTAACTGAATTGAAATTTTCCGATACGAATCGAAATAAAATGAGCCATAAAAGGTACCAAAATCATCGAAGTTTATGATTATCGAAATGTATCCATGCTTAATAAGTTATCGCAACGTATCGAATTATTCAAACTGATCAATGTTTACTGAGTTGTCGAAATTTATAGACACAGAAACTTAGTTGTCCAAATTTACGGATAGTTATCGAGCTATAAAAACGTGTGGGATTAACGAAATTTGTCAAGTTAAAGAAATGTTTCAAGTTATCGATATTTATTGAATTATCATTATTTATAGATTTCACGAAATTTATCGAGGTGTCGTAATGCATGGAGTTCTTTCAACTTACAGAGTTATCGATAATTATTGATCTGCTGAAATTGGCTGGTTCAACGAAGCGAAGTTTATGGAATTTTCAAAATATATCGATTTTTCGAAATTTCAAGGTTATATAAGCTTATCGATTTATCACTGCTTATCGAATTTAATCGTCTTAACAGAGTGTAACGAGTTATCAAAATGTTTAGATAGTTTTCGAAAAATGTGGAGATGTCAAAAGTAAAAATGCATAAAGGTATCCAAAGTTTTTACATTTTTGAGTTATCGAAATTTATCGTGCCATCGAATTTCACAGTTATCGAAATTGGTCGAGTTAACCAATTTTCTTGAGTTGTCGAATTTTAGTGTACTTGAAATTCATCGAACTATAGATATTTATCGATAAACTTGAATGTATCGGGTCAGTTCCAAGTCCTGCAGATGTCCTCCAAAGACCTTCTCAGATAAAAAAAATTTAGTTACGTTTTAGCAGACGATTTTCCGGTTAGTTAATTTGCACCATATAAGTTTTGCTACGTGTTAAGTTAGAAAACCTCTCCAAGGCTTCTAAAACTAGAAAAACTGTCGAATTTCGACAGTAACTGGCTCTCTAGTACTAATAATTTAATTAGCAATAGAAAAGCGGCCAAAATCGTTTAAGCGGTTACAGCGTCAAGCAAGAAGAATGGGACATAATGAAATCGGTAAAATAAGTGTTTTTAAGTGATGATTTTTTTTATTCAACAATTCTTAGAAAGAAAAAAACATACCTGTGTGTATATGAAAGTTTATTCTACATTTTCGCCTCAGTTATGTGGTCCCGTTAAAATAAACCAAAAAACGATCGCTTATTTTGGAGTCTTCGCTAAAAAGCTACCATTATCCTAAATATTTTAAAACTAATATTTTTACACTCCAATAAGGGAATATTGTATAGGTACATTGTTTTTTAATTGTATATATTTTCTTAAATTAAAAAAAAATAATAATAAAATACAAGGCGAAATGCAATTTTGTTACGTAATAACTCGGTTAAATCAGCCCAAAATGAATGTAATAAATACAAAAGCATGTAAAACTACCACAATTTACCTAGTACATACATACATACGTGATTGTGTATTTGTCGAAAAGTTCCTTGGAACCATTTTTACCTGAAAAGAAGGAAAATGTTGATTAATTTTTATAAATACATGAATACTCGTAGAAACTAATACTAAAATTAGATTACAATGAATGGAAATAAGTAAACTAACTTAGATAATGAGACTTTTTATTTCTGTGCTATGAAAGCATATCGTCACTAGACGCGAGCTCGAAAAACGGCCGCGAAACAAGACGCGTAAAAAACTTCGGCGAAGAAAGACTCTTATAGCCCAGTTATGCATACTTTGTACTGCTATACCATTTGTACGTAAAAATCAAAACGCAACAGACTTCTACATGTGAAGTGCTATGCCTTGGGTAACCGCTTACACGCAAAGCTCATTTAACAGATTCCTTATGTGACAACTCTCATGCAACGCCCAGTATGCATAACTGAGCTTTTAACATAGTTGTTGGCGAAGAAAGACGTGGCATTTCGCATTTTTTCATATAAGCATTTAAATTCTGATACACAATTTATTAATCGGAACTCTTCAGAAATCTATCGTCTACACACATATGAATCAAGGAACAAAAGTAATAGTTTTCACAAAACTGCACAATTAAAAATAAATAGATTCAAAGTCAAATTATGGTAAAAAAAATCGACTTGTTTGCGTACTTTTGGGGACAGCAATTTAGTCAATGAGATTTTTCTCATTCTTAAGCATAACATCTACAAATTATATAAAAAGAGAACGTCTTGTCTATTGGTCAGCCAACGTATTGGCCATCTGATCCCCAAAAAATACCCGATCTTATTGACTTTGGTGT